ATGAGCATGACGGTGGCGATTCGGCCGGCGTCGCTTTGGACGCATGCCATGTTTGCCGTCCTTTCCGCGATGGACAAAACCAACCAGCGTCAGATCGATCTGACACGTGATGCTTACGCGGATCTACGGCAAGAATTCCAGAAGTGGCTGTCGCTGACGGCTTCTTCACACGAAGGGCCGTGGCAGCGAGCGAGCCACCTCATCGTCAAAATCGACGGATCATCAGACGCGTCTTCCCTTGGCTGGGGTGGTGCTATTAACATTAAGGGAGCTCAATACCGCGCAGGTGGCGTGTTCCCCGACGATTGGCTACACAAACATATTAACAAGAAAGAGATGTTTGCGTTGTACCACTTGTTGCGCCTATTCTGTGCGCGCTTTCCGGCTTCCTTGCAGCGGGCGCACGTGCTCATCGACGTCGACAACACCGCGGTGTGTGGATCTTTCAACAGGGGGCGAGCGCGCGACCCAGAAACGCACGCACTTCTTGTTCGTTTGTTCGAGCTACAAGTCGAGTATGAGTTTATGCTGTCCCTCAAATGGGTCCCGTCGGCTGCCAATGTCGTCGCTGATTGATATCTCTCGCCCTTCGCGTGAGGGCATCATCAGGCTCAACCCGGCGGCCTTTCAGGCTCTCTGGGCAGACATGGGGCCGTTTACTATCGACCTCATGGCCTCCGACGCTTCGGCTCAACGTATCCCGGAGTCGGACGTTGTTCTGCCGTTTTTCTCGCGCTATGATTGCGAGGGTTCATCGGGTGTAGATGTTTTCGCCCAAGACGTGTCGTTGCGCCCAGGTTCTCTGGATCGAGCATTCGGTTATTGTTTCCCGCCGCCGGTGATGGCGGGCCACGTAGTGCAACACCTTGCGGAGTGCCACGCGCATGCGGTTATTGTTGTACCGGGTTCTAGGTCTTACTGGTTCCCTCGAGTGCAGCAGGCGGCAGTACGGTCTTTGCTGATTTCCCCGCCTAATGCGGGGGGATATTTCCAGTGGCCCTGCCCAGATGGGTCCCTGAAAGAGTGGAAGTACCCGAGGTGGTCCATGGTAGCTTACGAGGTTGATTTTGGTTCTTGTTCTTAGGTGGCCGCCGCTCTTCAAAAAAAAAAAAAAAAAAAAAAAAAATCTCTTTGATTGACACCGGTACCTTGTAATGCAGCATGCGACTCTCGTCCATCTTGCCCAGTTCCCTCCCTTTGGCTTGTGGATGGCTTGTGCTTCGTCTCACAGGTCCCCACCCTGCCTCCGGGCGGCTGTGTCCAGTTTGTCGCGGTGTTCGTCGTGCCAGACGGAAAACGTGGGACATTACAACTATTGTTGGTCCTGCGGTGTTCAGCCTGCCCGCGGGCGTCCGGTACCGCGTGACCCCCAAGCGGCTCGGGTGTTGATCGATTTCGACGCGCTGCGCGCTCGGGGTGATCAGGTCCTCTCGGCCGCGTCTAACCGTCGTGCTCAACAGCGTAAGTGCGCCGTAGCGGACGGGTTCGACGCTTTCATACTTTCGGCGACTCAACAACGTCGGGGTTGGAAGCAGGCGTCGGACCGAGACGTGTTTGACTATCTCTGCTTCTTGGACACACAAGGTAGTGGTACCAAGTGGGTGCACGACAGGGCATGCCCTGGTGTCGGTACGACTCACGGCCGCGATTGCCTTCCAAACTCGCCATGTGCTAAGCGGTATGCTGCCGCGTCCATGCAGAAAGGGATCGTGTCCAAGCTGAAGATGGCGATGCAAGAACAGTTGGGAAAAGACAGCAGCTGGGACCCTGCCACGCGCTCGGGCAACTCCTGTTGTAGTCCTCTCGTCGACTCCTACCTCGTCTTCACGGGGGAGGAACAAAAACGTGTGGGTGTCGCTGTCAACCAGGCAGAGGCTATGTTACCGCACGTCCTCATCGATCTGTTGAGGGACATGCGCTCTCGCGCGCAGACTGCGTCCTCTTTGGCGGAACGTATTGAGCTCACCAGGGACGTCGCTTTGTTTTCGCTGGCGTTCGCCTCCATGCGGCGAGGCCATGATCTCTCCTTCACTATGGGATCGCAAGTTCTGCGGTTGCCCGCGGGGCAGGGTCTGATTTTCAACTTCCAATTCGGCAAGACCCTCCGCGACTCCGTTGATGCCGTGGTCGTGCGTCCGGACGTCGCTTGCCCGTCTATTTGTGCTGTAAGCAATGTTACGGCCTACATCAGTGCGGCGGAGGGTATTGGCTGGGATTTGTCCCAAGGACATCTGTTTCCTATCGTTCTGCTGGATGGAACTCGGGGCTGTGCTCCGCTTACGGCGGTTCAGATGACGGCTGCCCTACAAGGGCATCTGCGAGCGGCGGGACTGCCGCACCGCTACACTATGCATTCGTTCCGCGTTGGAGGTTCGGTAGCGCAGTCGCTTGACGGAACGGCGATGGACGCTATCATGAAAATTGCCGGGTGGCGTACGGAGAGTGTAGCGAAGCGATATGTTGGCGCCACTACTAGTGTGGGGGCAACGGGTTCCAAGAGGATCCGGAGCGAGCTGTACGCAGACTCAAACGTGTTGCCGTTGTCGGCTGACTTCACATGCGATTTCTCTGCGTGTGCTCGCCGCGAAAAATAAGAAAGTTTGGGTGGGCGAGACCTAGCTTAGAGGCGTGAGTGGTCAATAAATAAGATGTGACAGATCGGATAATTAACAAGAAAGTAATGGGCGGGACCACAGACCGGCGCAGGAGGCCTCACCCAACCAAATCCAATACTTACATTGAATGATCTGGGTAAGGGATAAGAATACAACAGAAATTTTTATGGAGTTTGTGGCAGAAACGTAAAGAGCTCCCAAATGTTGGTGGTGTCTCTAGTAGGTGTAGGAACGGTGCTCCGTCTCGAAAGGGACGCGTGGTCAATGGTCAAATGACTACGGCAAGCAACAAATGAGTACGCCCCCCCCCCCCCATTACGCTTGTTGCACCCCACGAATGGCTTCAGCGAAGTCTCTAGAGTAATTCACGAAACGTCATTATTTCGGAAATAGTCATGGTACGAGGAACGGTAACACGCGGTACACGGACTGGTTGAAAAAGAACTACTGTACATGCGCTCTAAAGCACGTGCCTTAGTAGCACGGTGAGCAGAGCTTGGTTTCGAGCTTGCACGAACCTAACTGTGAAGCGTGGAAGGACACACGCGGGTAGTGTACAAAATTTGCAATAGTGACAGCCGGAGGGGGCTTGCCCGAGCTCCACAGAACGCCGTATGCTGCGCTGCGGCAGACTGCAAGAATTGTGTCCTGATCACAACACGAAAGGGCCACATGCAAAACATGTAAGCCGTCCCTCCCATGTCCCTTTCGTGAAGAGGGTTCAATTACCCCGCTCTGTTTGAATAGTACGTCCACTACGACAACAGCATGTTTACGGTCGACCCCAGGTAGTTTTCCTCTAATCACCGGTCAGTTCATCTGCTTCGTGTTATTTGCTCGGCAGTCCTTGTCTTTTTGTTCCGCTTTCGATTGTTTTTGTTATGGATATACCAATAGCTAATGATATTGAAATAGATTTTGTCCTTATCAACTACTGTAGAATCATGTAATATGGGTATTGAATGGATGAGCCTCCACCCCTTAGGCCGGCGGTCCATTGATGCACTGCCGCACCGGGGTCGGCTGGACAACGAATCTGTAAAACTGCCAGCAGTGTGGAAGATGGTGATTTTTCTATCCTGCCCGGAGTGTCTCGTATTCACGGTAGGATGAAAGACGTTGCTAGGCATAAATCTCGACTATCAAGGCACTTCTAGACTACAGGACATCCATCTCGTGCCGGATTTGAATTCGGCTGTAGCCCCAATTTTCCAGCAACGTTGCACTTCCGTACAAACATCAATCGTTTACCCTCCCCAAAACAAAGGATTTTTTTCTCATGACGCACTTGCTGGTCGCATGTTCTGCTCCTGGTCCTCCCCCGAATCGTCCGACACTAGGTCGATCGGGCTTCCCTTGAGTCCCGCGGGCTCCTCGACAATTTTCACATTTTCCAGCGATGAAGCACGAGGTCGAAGCATACCGGATGCGGGTAGAGAGAATACCGGATGCGGGTAGAGATGGACCGGTGAGGAAGACATCAGCAAAAGACGGCCGGGGTCGTCAGAGAGAGGTTGGTACAGTATCCGCGGTGCAGCTCGCTTTCACATCCTTAACACCGCGAACCACCTTATTTCCACCACAGACCACCACACAAACAGTGGTTGGTGTGAAGATCTCAAGAAGACTTCGGTAGAAGGGGTTGAACAGGCACCGCAAGCGATTCCACCACTACGTACCCGTATCTATCTATCGCACCATTGCAAACATGTACTACGAGTTGTCCCTGTTTCTTGTTTGGGGTATTGCGTCACAGGAAAAATATGCTGTGCGGATCCTGAAGAACCTCGACGATAATACATGTAGTCTGAAGCCACGCACTCATACAGCAGTTGAATTGAAACAGCACCGGGCCAGAGGTCACAGAACCGACACAAATATCCAAAATCGCGGCCAGACCGAAAGACATATCTGCTACCAAGGCAAACGGCAGACAGTACTTCGGGCACCATTACTCTGCCCATTACTCTGCTCTTCTGGAACAGCAGACGACGATCGAAAACGAGAAGGGGTGAAGCACATATTCTAGAACAACACTACTGCGGTTTTTTGTCAGTGTTCGGGTTCCAGGAAACGCGGAACACCATGCACGTTCCAGGCGGAGAAGCCGAAGCTTGGTCCATACGTACGCTAGCCGTTCCTACCATTGAGAAGTGCTCCTTTGGGAAATACATGCTCGAAAAGCGAGAAACATAGAAATCACCAACAAAGTGTATCATGCTTTTTCAGGTGGTCACACCCAAGAACCGTCGGGCATCGAAAAAGCGGCGACCAGTATTCTCCCGAGATAGACTTGCGGTTCCTTCGGCACAAACCTTACCATCGCACCCGGTACAGCCAGACAGCGTACCTCTTCTTCAGGCTCGTCAATACTCGACGAGAACGCCAGGACCAGCAACCCGTCTCCGGCCCGAGCTCCTTTCGGCTGCACTATCGTGGCCTTGACCTGAGCAAAATACCACAAAATGAGCGCCCCATGTTAGCGTCATCTGTGCATACCATTAGCGGGAGTTGTTGCTGTTCTTGTTGTTGGCTTCAGACAATAATACCCGTTCCGATCTACCTCCATCTGTCTATACTGATCAAACACTTGACCATTCCCGTGGTCACAGGCTAAGTTGCCTAAAGAGGGAGTTTCAACAAAAACATATTGGGCAAATGCGACCATGTTGGGCAAATGCGATCATCGCTGAACAGCTTGTTTTTTGGGTACACTCGTGTGACTGCGTACGTCCAGCCCACCTTAACGCCCCATCCATGCTCCGTTTGCTCCTGGAGCCATTTGCCGATGTGCTTCGGCATGGGCGCACCACATTTTGGCAAGCGAGTCACAATCACCACCTTTGAATCCTCCCGTGAAGAAACCTGAGAAGAAGAGCAGCACGTAGGTTCGGAAACTACCTTTGGGAGTCACCATGTCTTGCGCGGTGGGGAACCTTGCACTCACTCGACTCGGTCCCGACAGCTTGCCCTCACCTTGTCCCTGATGATAAGTTTAAGGACACCAAAGCTTTCGTTTCGTATCCCTCCCAGCAGCATGATGACGATCGATCGGGAGTTGTGTCCAGGCTCGAGGGCGAGTTGGGGGTTGCCCGGCACTGGCGCAGCAGGCTCGATTTCGAACGAACGACCATCAATGGTGACGACCCCGAGATCTCCGGTGGGGTAACATACCTCCTCGATGGGAATGGGTTGTAGAACATGTTCCGAGAGGTATTTCAGCAGTCCATCCAAGTGATTCAAGTCTGTAACGCAGTTTGAGCCTTTCTCGTACTTCCGTTGCAGCTCATCCAAATCGATATCGTCATGCTGGAACTCCGGACAGGAGACAAGCAGCGGCCGACGTGCCGGAGGGGATGTCGGTGGCGGGCGAGGCTGGCGAGGCTGGACGGGTTGGAGGTTTTTCTTCGAGTGAGAGAACTTTCGGAACTTGCATACCACCAGACCTTTCTCGTCGATGATGTGGTTGAATTCGATGTCCTCCCAGAACCGTTTCATTGGGTACCATGCCCCCTTGGAGACTGTGCTGGCCACGTTCAGCAGGCAGAAGGAATACACGCTGTGGGTCACGCCGAAGGGTTCCTTGACCTCCTTGTTGTTTGTGCAGCCATACCCATGCCTTGCAATGCCTAGAACTCCGTAATGGCCAGGACGACCGCACAAGTCTCCCACGGTGGTGATCTTCTGGTCAACCGCACGTGGCTGTTTCGGGGTATCCCCACGTAGTAGGTCTGATTCGCGAGGACAGGCCTCGTCTCGAACGCCGTTAACCTTCACGTACTCGAGGACATCTCTTGTAGTGCCTTCCTTATCTGAAGCTGTTGAGACGCGAATTCCCTTTTTTTCTTCAGCAAACATGAGTCGTTCAAGGGAGTTCATGACTTGGGTGAAGCTGCACGGTTGGTACTTCGCTTCTTCTTTGCCCACATCGAGCTCATGGCACAGCTGGACATTGTCGTCCAGCATCCAGATGAAGGGTATTCCGTTGGCCTGCGACCACCGCTGAATGAAATGCCGGGTGTATCCGATTCCCCCTTCTTCCGGAGAGCACCTGGAGCTTGGCGACTCGTCGCTTGGCATGGACATCGGCAATTCCATTATCACGTAGTGATCCCCGAAGTGCGTCCTGTTTATACAGCAATAAGGGCAGAGACCAGTTAGTGCGTGGAAGGAAGGAATGAAAGCTACGGTCTAGAGGGAGGACGGGGCGCTGCATGATTTTTCATCTCCGGCAGCAGCAAAATACTTCGAATCGACGGCCTGCACGGCATAATTTTCGGAAGTTGCGACGACAAATGGGGGTGTACCTGTAGGATTCAAACTGTTCCCGACGGACCACGAGCACTTGAACATTGACCCTGTTCACGGAATCGAAGGGACCAGTCGGCGGGAACGCAAACGATGCTTTCTCGTAAGCTGCACGCCTCCGCGGGGAGACTAACTACACGCGTGTTTCTATCCGGAGTTGGGGTCTCTCTCTCCAGGTTTGAACAAATCAAATTTTCGGGGTAATTTAGCTGCCTCCCTCACGGAGCCTAGAATACAATCGACACCCTCACCGCAGGAGCTCGTCCTGAGTTGGCGTCTGTTCTATAGCCTTCTGGCCTGCAGTTGGCGCCCGCACTGAAGAACGCAATATTCAACGTAATATCAAAACACACGAACTTGAGCACCAATTGTGAGCCCGGTTAACCCACACCACAACCTATGCAGCGGCCATTTGCAGCCTAGCACTAGGAACCAAGAACCCTAGCCTCGGCCGAAGCGAGAGGTTCCTAAGGGCGCACACTAGCTGTACACGTTCATGGCGCGATATATTGTGGCCATGAAAAGGCGATTTCTAAGGTCCTGGTGGGTTCGCAAATGCCAGATGTGCTTGTACTCCGCATAGTGACAACTGCGTTCAACAAGTGACATGGATCTGCCAAAAAGACTCCCCTCAGAAACAGCTAGAAGATGGACTGGTGACGCGGTCAGAAGTCTCAAGTGATTTGCATAGCAGCGAAGGCATTAGCACAAGTGGTGACCGGGTGTGTGGAGGTAAACTGCATACATACGTCAAGCCGCGATGAAAAGGACTTGCTTATTAGAGGGTCGAAACAGGATACTGCGGAACACACATTTACATGGGGAAGGGAACCAAAGGCACCTCACGTGGGAGTGCGTTACATCACGATGCCCTGTGCCCTGTCGTACTTCGCTTTCTTTGGGGCCGTGCTTTGTCTACCCATGCGTCTCTATCGTGTTTTTACCTGGGCCCCACATCCAAACCGTCGAGGGGTTTCGGCAGGGCTTGGGATCGATCCAAGAGTGCCTGCCGTGGGCCTGGGAGGAATCGGTTGAACGACGGCGTAAATATCCATCTCGTCGTTTCCTTGCTGCGGAGCAGCTCCTTTATCCCCCCCTTGAAAGAGTGCGGAGTGGACACGGCAAGGCCTTGAAGCGCGCTGTCTGCACGGTATTGGAAGGGGTGTTTGCTTTCCTTGCTGCCATTCCCTTTGTTCCAGGCCTTCGGAGGCTGCTTCGCCACAAAGTCATCTCCTAACTCGCAAGGGTCTGGGAACAATATTACGTCCGCCGAAAGTGGAGAGCGGGGTACGGTGATGTCAAGCGTGAGAACCACATGAAGGACGCTCAAGTGATTTGTCGTTGCGTGTGAAACATAGGTTTGCATTCTCTGTGGTGAGGCGTTGTCATAAGTCATGAACGGTGCTGTGCTCACTACTGTACATTCCACATATTAACCCCAGGACGAATATGGCCGCGTTTCTCACCTTGGGAGTCGTCCTGGGAGTTGTCCTGGGAGTTGTCCTGATCCGCTTCCCACCGCGCAATCACCCCGTCAAGTCGGCCTCCTGTTTCCGCCAGGTCCGCCGTTCTGATCGACAACGCCGCCCCGTACGAAACTTTTAATTTTGCCAAGCTGTCCTGGCAGGCAGGTGTACATTGACCGCTGCATACGCACAGCTGTACCCCATGATTGGTGTGAAATCTCCCGTCCCAGTCAATCGCCGCTTTTAGGGATGCATACGAAGCCTCAGTTCCTATAGCCTGTCCTTCCGCATCGAACGGGGCTTCTAGACTCTGCTCCAACCCTGCAATGCGCCTTCTGCCCTCCTCACTCTTGATTGTCTCACCCTGCACTTTGTGCACCAACACATTGCGCAGGAACTCCTGGAAGTTGGTTACCCACCCGTCACGCTTGCAACTTTGCACCACGAGATACGCCCGGCTATTCGCGACTCCTGCCGTGTATTTGCCGGCGAAGAGGCTACCATACATGTCGCTCAGGGTTCTCATGTTGGAGAGCGTTCGCCAGTGTGGGAGCAGCCAGCTGACAGCATCCCCAGACGATGCAACGATGGGGAACGGCGGCGGCGGGGTAGCGATAGGACTGGCCGCTCTCTTAAGAATTTTGAGGTAGTGAAGGTACGCCCCCGTCTTGCCAACTTGACACTCCGCTGACAGAACCAGACGGCGCTCGTTTCTTGTGGATGTTTTGTCCCTACCACTGTCGTAGTGACCTTCGTCTGGCCGATACCTACAGTAGTCGTGGAGGTCACCGATTTTTGCCTGCGTGATCGAGGACACAACCGTGAGGGGGGTTGGCCAAGGGCGAGCAATCTACTGTTGAATTGTATTCGACAAAGTACCATTCGAAACGCTGGCGGTGGTGTACGCAGAAACGTCCTCGAGCACAACTACAACCAGGGTAGCAAAGACGAAAAGCGAAATATCTCCTCAGCCTGGAATACTCAACGGCACACGCACTCACTTTCGCCATCGAACCGCGCATATGCTGATCCATACGTGCCATTCGTATACACTTCGAGATGGGCGTATTTGTCTTTCTGTGTTCGTTAATGGCATTGTGGACAATATCCATCACTCTCGTGGTGATGAGCATCGTTGGCAGCCGGAACGCGCTCTCCTCCACACGGACTTTCGGATGCCCCTGAGCCCTGTCCGATAAGATTTCGTCCAGCTCCCACCACGTGTTGGCGACGCCCAAAAACTTTGAAGAGGGGCTTGATACCTTCAGGACGCGCTTGCGATGGAAAGCCTGCGAATCACGATCGATTGGCGGAAGGAATCGAGTTTTAGTCGTGATTATGGCAACCCGCGTAGTTGCAGATGCATGACGCAGGGCAATGTTTGGGTTCTATGCACCCTTGTCGGTAGGGCCCGGTCGACTCCGAGTTAGGGCTGTCTTCACATGATATGGTTCAAATATATGTTTAACAAGGGCACACGAGGACACGAACAATTGGCAAATCGATGGGGAACACCTTCCACCTCGATCACACTCAATTCGGCCCGAGTGATAAATCCCATTGCCCCCTGCCTACGTTTCGCTGTCCAATTCGGTCGATACTCACCTTTTTGCCAAGTGCGATTGCCTGGACGTGTGAACACTCCGTTATTTCGCCACCATCGATTGGCATGAAGGCTTGGTATCGGCAGAGGCGCCCGAGCTCCTGTTCGAAGGTTGCAAAGCTTTGTTCGGCCGTTCGAATTCGCAGGTCGAAGCAGCCAAGCGAGTGCGGGAACGTATCGCCCGTTCTTCCCTTGTCGCACAATATGAGTATCATCGGCACGTTCAGCAGGTCGGCGTAAGAGAGAGACGCTGTACGGCGGCCGCCCCGCAGGTCGTGGCCGGCCTGCAGCTCTTCCAGCCTGTCCTTCAGGGTGTACGTTCCTTCTCCAGCCCCGGCATTTAAGAGATTGAAGTTGTTCAGAAAGTACGGCTCGATGCATGTTGACAGGCTGGTGTTGCCGTCGCCGTTGTCAGACACCACGGAAAACAGCGGACGCATGTCGGGGGACCCGTCATGGATTTCGAGCTTTTCCATCGCTTGGCGCAAGCAGTGCTGCATGCTACGCTGTTCCTCTTTTTCATACACACGCATCACCACCATTTGACCGTGTCCATCTCCCCTGCCGGGCTCGCTACTCACGATACCTTGAAGCAACCGATCCGTCTCATTGAACCAGCTAACTTCGTCACTTGTGCTGTCTGCCACAATGCTTCCATGAAGCTTTTCCTTAAGGATATACTGTAGACACTCCAGGTCAGTTGGCGCCGATTTCGGGTCTTGGTTCTTGAGCTCTCGCTTAGCCGCCAACACATACTTCTGAGGTGGACAAAGGAGGCGTGCGATGACGTTTGTGCAAGCTCAGATCGATAGGTCAAACAAGTCAAGGGTATGCTCGGAGCACATACGTACTTTACAGCGTATTTTTCGTTACCCATGCGACCTCTCAAGTAATTGGAAGAGTGGCAGTGAACAGATACCCGGAACGGGTGCGAGCAGACTATATGTGGTTTGGCCGAAACGTTGTCGATTAAACCTTGCCTGTCTTACTTCCTTCATGACCATCGCGATGGAGCAAGAGTCCTTCTCCGCCATGGCGACAACATCGAAGTCGCAGACCTGATCGAGTTTCTCGCCAAACGTGGTGGCGGAGCGGTCGTCTAATTTCTTGGCTTGTTCGACGGCATTCGTTATCTGCATCGTTCGGCCATTTTCTCGGTACATCGAGAGAAACACGAGAGAGAACAGGTATTCCGCCAAAAGGAGGTGTCCGGCATGGAAAGTCACGCGTCCCTTTTTACCCTTCCCGATTGTCCTCGATCCAAACTGCCGCTTGGCGTGATCCCAAAGTTCGCCAAACACTGGGTCGGACCTGATACGTTGATCCTCTACTGAGCGTCCGCCATGATGCTTGTCTCCATCGCCGATTGTCCATGATGACGAGCCAGAAACGGGTGTGTCGGGAATCACCTCGACAGTTGCGTCAAATCCCAGCATTGCGAGGATGCTTGTTGGGCCGTTTTCCAGCCGAAGATGAAAGTCCTGCTTGGTCTTTCCTAGCGAGATCCAGAAGCGATTACTCGTTCTATCGTACTTGATCTCGATACTTGGCTTCGCCGTCCTTCTTTTGCTAGCGGATGTCAACACCTCATAGCGTTCATCGACGGTGAGTTTTATCTCCGTGGAGAGGGCTTCCGCCACATGTTCGGGGGTGCTGAATGGCTTGTTCTTGACATCAATATCAAAAGTATACATGTTGCCATCGTTTCCTGGGGCACCAGTCAGTTTTCCACGCAAGGTGCTCGCCTTGGGGTCAGCCTTGAATGCCACTGTTGAAAGATAGTTCTCTGAACTGAGAAAAGAATGACGACAAACGGAATCATGACGAGAAGAGTGGCGCACCGCGGTGAGTTACTACATTTTCGTTAGCAATCCATATGTAGTTGAGAAAGAAGAGCGCGCATTCTCAAGGCCTAGTCATCGAGAATGACCGAAGTGTACACATAGGCACAACCCACACCAATCAGCATTTCTGGTTGTCAGTTTTGGATGCCAAGCACAGCGCCAAGTCTACTCAGCACGCCAAGCCCATGCGCTTGGCACGAAACAATCACCTTCTATAGTTGCCCTCATCGAAACGATTGTCCCCTTCATCGTCTTCCGCAAACCAATCAACGACATTGCCCGCTTCACCCGCCTCGACATTCTTAACCTTCACCCGGCTGCCCATGGTCAAGCAGTTGTATGGAGTCGCGCTGGCAGGATGGGGCAAGAGATAAAGGCATAGGAAGCTGCATTTGCCTCAGTAGGATTGGTCATCGCCGCCTTCGAGTTACAAAACGGGTGGTTTGTCAATCGCAAAGATCCAGCTCAACACAGCGAATCCCAGTGGGGCGAGGTCCACCGCAAACAAGTAATGACACTCTGGCGGCGATGACATGTATCACCGAATCCCTCAGAATTCTGTAGTTCCAAGGCAACCGTGGGCCCCAAAGTGCGATTGCGGAGACCAACCACATTCAAAACTCTCTCAAATTCAAGAATGTCAATGGACTTCCGATTGAGAAAAATGAACGGAATGCACCAAGCAGGGAGGATACGGTTCGAAATGGCAAGAGCAGCCTGCCACGTCTTGCGGTGAGATATCCCTTCCAGCGCAGACACAAGACCGATGCGTGAGCATGATATGCTCACGTTCTAAACTTGTCGCGGTTATCCTCAACGGCTTAATTAACGCACGGGCTGGAACATGGAGACCGGCTGAGTGACAGCCCTTTCAACCTCGCCGGCCGGAGAATAACGGGGATACTTCGGCAATTGTTGGGGCGTTTCTGCCTGTACCTGTCTATTCGCCAGACGCTACTTCCAGGTCAGGGAGGTTGTTCCTTGGAAGCCTTGGGAAGGGCGTTCATGTTGCCGAGAGGGCGGGGCCAGGCGAGATCTCGGGACAAGACATGCAGATGCTTTGAGTGGTCGTATTTCTGCTAGAAAAGTCTTATTTCTCGAGAATCCGGCAATACAATACAACCTCACGGAAAATCGGGACCCAAACGCATTGTAAAATCAACTCATTTCACCCGCTCATGCACGGTTCGTACCTGACACCTAGAAGAACGAAGTTGCCGCTGCCATGAAGGCTTTCGTTGTTGACGTACACGTCGTGCGCGTGACCAGCGGTTGGGCTCAAGTGGCACTCATCGGCGATCATGACGAAAAGCTTGTTGTGCTCCGAAAGTGCCCTCTCCTTGAAGTTTTCGAAAATGGGCATGTGCCTGCCCTTCGCTTCATACATAATGACGCATGATTCCACCTTGTCCTGTGACACCCATCCACTTTTCGCCAACCTGTTCATTGTCTGGTGCTGTAACGTTAGAAAACAAGGCGTCAGCAATAAAAATTCAATGCCGCGGTAATCAGAGATGTTCCGATCGCCCAAGACAGCCTGCGTTTTATCGAACAACCGGTCGGCCACCCGCTCCTGGCTCGGCCACACGAAAGACTCATCAACGAAGGGTGGGCGCGGCCTTGACAATGACGCCTGGACAGATCCGATGCCACCGCCACCACGGGTTCCCCCGGTGTCGCTACCGCCGGCGGTCCTGCCCAGATGCGAACAAAAATGCGAGTGAGTTACGAAAAACATTAAAGAACCAAAGTTGCTCGAAGACATGGCTTGTTCCACATGGTTGGGCGGGATTGGGTCTCCATGACATTGCGCGGGCTCGAGCTCATGGACATCCACATACACAAACCCGATGCCATTATGTGGCATCACCTTCAACAAGGATAACTCACCCAACCCTACCACAGTGTAGACATATATATATACACATGCGTATCCTTCGTCTGAACGAACACAGACATGTCGATCGCAGTCGAGGATTCTCCCCCAGTCACCGTACCAGTACTGACTGGTAGGCGAAACGATTCCATAAGATGGGTTTGTAATCCCCCCGGATTCCACTCAGGAGATATAAAGTGGAGGGTCTCTGTCTCAAGCCGCCCTCGTAGGTGTCACCATCGTCAACCCATCTGCAAGTAGAAGAATCGACAAGTCGATTCAAAAGCCAGGATCCGCCCTCGAAGATCGAGCAGCAAGCAAGGCAAACCACTATGCGGGAAATTTCAACCCGTCTAGATGCACCCCCCTTACGCTGCTTTTTAACGTATGATGGTCTTGGCAAAGGTTCCAATCGGTTACGCGTAGTTCCCGCCAACCGTCTAGCCCACGAAATATTCTGCAAATTTCGACGATGAGCCAACCTTTCTTCGCCTCAAGGCTTACCAACAGAAATCGGAGACAGTCTACCTTCGAGCTAGCTCATTTTCTGTTAGTACGAACTCGTGACGTCTTCAAACGTCATAGGTGATCGATCAAATTCCACCACAGCCAATATGTTGGGATTTTCGTAGTCCGTGATTGGGGACTGCGTAAGGAGGTGTCATGGGGGAGGCTAGCTACTCTCCGAATGAAAGACAGACGTGGTGGTAACAGAAGATAACTGCACGTGCCTACGAAGGTTACTATTTTGCACGCGCGTTCGGTTTGGAGTGCTTTCATAATCCTCCTTGCGCTTACCACTCTCTCGTCTCCAAAAATACGGCTATTTGTTGGCAGGCCCTCTCTGTTCCTGGGCGTTTGTTTAAGGAAGGTCATTTGGCTCAAACCTCGTGTTTTGAACGTCATTTCTTCCATCTCCACCATTATTGCCATCCTTTTTTATTGTTCCCTTTCCTCCTCCTTCGTCACTATCAAACGATTTCCCCTCAGTGCAATCACCATCCTCTTTTTCGCCTGCCTCACTCCTGCAGAAGCGTTTTCTGCTTTCAATAGCACTGAGACTGACGCATTTTCACTGGTCAGCCGGTTAGCGCGTCCGAAGCAAGTAACAAAACCACGTACATATTCGCAGTAGCCCCACCGCCGCTTGATCCCCCGCCACCGCCGCGTCGCGAATGTTGTATGAGCTGATTATCGTCATCAGATCCGGTGGCGAATCCCGAGAGGCCGCTCTCCCCGCCCCCGCCGTCGTTCCTGTAAATGCGTATTTGTAGGTTTTGTCGTCCAAGGGCTCAACTGGTGCTGCGGCAGTACGCTTCGTTGGTATAAAAACGGCATCCTGGTGTGGGGGGGGGGGGGGGGGGGGTGTACTCATAGTCGTGCATGCCGTAGTCGTTTGACCATTGACCTCGCATCCCTACAAAGCCGGGACGGAGCACGCCGGGTTCTCACCGGACCAGGCTCTCACATCACCAAGCGCGAAGCGCCGTGAGGTATTTGGCGAGTCGCATGAAGGGTGAGCTGCATCCTGCTAAGGGTGTTCGGCATCTTGTGCTTACTTCCTTGCGTACGGATGACAGCTACGTATGACTTAATTTATTTTCTGGTGCTTTCACTTCCAGAGACAGCTGTAAGCACTGTGTAACTGCCTCGAGGATGCTTGACCATTTTCACACAACGTGGTGCGATCATCCCCCGTTGCGCGGAGTGAGGTTTCTCGACCCCGCACAACATGATCTACTCGACCACCACTATGGTTACCGCCAAAAAAAAAAAACGAGGTAAAAAAAAAACCGGTAACCTGGTTGCCGAGTTCACGAAGTGAATTGGTTTGTTTTACAACGTCGTTGCCAAGCGACGAAAACCCAATCCCGATGGCAAACACCGAGTGGGGGGCTTGTTTTACAACGTCGTTGCCAAGCGACGAAAACCCAAACCCCGATGGCAAACACCGGGGGGGGGCATCCTCGTGTTGGGGGTTGGTATAACGACATTGCGACTTCCCAGACTCGGCAAGAGCAGCAAGTGGCCACAACATGCGACGAAATCGTCTCTGTCGTTGGACAATTCTCCTTCCGTTGTGACATCAAGTCCTAAAGTTGAAAAAGGCACAACAACAGGCCTTTTGCTTGCTCCAGGCCTTCACGGTTGCATTGAATCGTGTTGCAAGGTGGTTAGCGACACAAAGAACAAGGTCTTACCCAATTGCGGTGGGTAGTCATTTTTGCGCCGAATTCGGTTGTATTCGTTATGTATGTGCGGCTCAAGCAAAGGAAATAGCTGTGGATTCACGTCCGGGAGAGGTACATGGACAACAAAGGAGTAATGGCTGACAACAGAGTTTTTCTGCCCTTTGAGGACTTAGGTTTAAGGGCACAAAAACATATGGCGGTGTAGCTAATTGAAGGCCATGCTATGTGCAATGCTATGTCTAATATTCCAG